CACTTTAGAATCTGATGAATTTATATTTAGAATGTCTTAATTTTGGTGATAAAATAAAATTCAAGAGGAAAACCACTAAAGTTATATAAAGACTAATAGGGAACATGCCAGACTTCCTTTGGAAATGTTAGAATTAATTTTCTTCAGAGAGAACATTGTCCCTAGCTTCATACCTAAATAAATCATCGCCTGGAACCTAAGTGGAGTACAAAAAATTATAATAGCCAATCCCAACTAGAGGGAACTGTAATTAGTAGAACCCACATTCTAAATTCCCAGTTGTGGTGGATGGTTGCACTATCAATAAAAACAGGACTGAGTAGGGTGATTCCCTGATACCCAGTACACACGTAATATGTGTTTAGTTTCCTTCAGTCTCTTCCCTTTCTTGAGAGTCCACTTCCTTCTTTCAACTATCCAGGAAACTATAAGGAAAGTATCAAAGTGATCCAGATTTTTTTCCCCTCTCTCCTCTTGAGCAGATGATAAACATTAGACACTCAATAAATATTTTTTGAAAGATGAAAGACTCCTTATTTTCAAAATAACCACTAATACTTATTATACAGCCTTCCCAACTTTTTTTCAAAGTAATTTTAAACTATAGAAAAAGAGGAACTTGATTAAACTAGTTTTGGGTTGGACCTGCACAGGCTTAATGCTAATAAACCTTATGTGAAAAGCTGAAACCTGCATTAATTTACGTACTTCCCAATACTGTAGGTTTGTGGCTATAAGATGCATTAAAGGACGTTTTTTTTCATTTTCCATCCATTCATTTACTATTTCATGGGTTCATCAAACATTCATTGAGCTTTCTATGAACTAGACACTGGGAATGATAAAAGCCTCACTTTTCTCAAGGAGCACATTGACTGGTGTGGAGCCAGATGTGGAAAGGGTTAGCAAGAAACCATTAGATGTTACATCCGAAGAAGGACATAGAAGTTAAGGAACCGAATGAAGAGCAAAACCCTAAACAAGATTTGCTGCCAGACTTAGATTCAGGCTGGTAGTGGATAGTTTTGAAAAGTGTAAAACCTTGCTCCTTATAAGGACCCTTGAGCTACCTAATGTCAATGTGTGCTCAGGAAGTAAGAGGAAGATATAGAGACTAGAAACTCAGAAATAACTCAGTTATTTCTCTTTGCTGTAAACCTCATACACTCTTCCCTCTGTGCTGTTGCAGGATTGGGTCCAGGACCCTAGCAGATATCAAATCCAAGGATGCTCAAGACCCCTTATATAAAACGATGTAGTATTTGCATATAACCTACGGCCATTGTCTCATGCACTTTATTTTTTTAAAGATATTTTTATTGTGCATTATAATTGTACATAGCAGTGGGATTAATTATGCCATATTAGGACATGTATATGACAATTCAATCAATCTCATTTCTACTCCCTTCCCTTTTCCTCTTCCTCCCATGTACTTTAAATCATATTTAGGTTACCTATACTACCTAGTACAATGTAAGTGCTATGTAAATAGACCATATTACTTAGAAAATAATAAAAAAAATGTCTGTACATCTCAGTCAGTACAGAAGTGTATTTGAAAAATATTTTTGATGAGCTGGTTGAATCTGTGGAGGTGGAACCTGTGGCTATGGAGGGCCCCTCTGTGGTTGTAACTGGAGACTTTCTTGCAGGTGAGCATCTTTCTGATGAGAAAGGCAATCAACCGTGTTAGAAATTTGATTCCTCTTAAATATCCAGATACAATATTAACATGAATGAAAGAGAAAATAATTTGAGGGAAAGTTTTTTCTTCTAGATGCCTTATATTTATTGAAAGAGAGGTTTCTCAGAATGTCTGTTTTCTCTGTTGTTACCCATTGTTGCAGGTAATTGTTTTAAGGTGCTACTGTTAAGTGTTAACTGTGGACCTGGATTGACTTTTGTCTGTTTTTGAGTCTATGCCTTTTTCTGTTCATCTTGGGAAGATAATATTTTCTTTTTTGGGGAAGAGGTAGGCCCTCACTAGAAATAAGAAGCCTATTTCTTTTTTTTTTTTTCCTTTTTTGGTACTGGGGATTGAACTCATGGACACTTGACCACTGAGCCACATCCCCAGCCCCCCGCCCTTTTTTTTTTGTATTTTATTTAGAGACAGGGTCTCACTGAGTTGCTTAGTGCCTCGCCATTGCTGAGGCTGGCTTTGAACTCTGGATCCTCCTGCTTCAGCTTCCCAAGCCGCTGGGATTACAGGCATGCGCCACTGCACCGGGCGCAAGAAGCCCATTTCTTACTTATTTATTATCTTTTAATGAAGAAGAGTTTGAAACAAAACAAAAAACAAAAACAAAACAAACAACAACAACAAAAAGAAACCATAATTCCACAAACACAAAACACCATTGTTATGATTTTAATTTGTAAAACATGGTCTTTGCAGGTCTTTTCAGGGCAACATTACCATCATAGAGGGTGGACATTTCTATATTTCATTTTCTCCTCTATTATATGACTTTGTCATACTCCAGTTATTAGGCTGCTACTATGTTCCCATATAAGTATCACTTTCTGTAAGAGCAAAACATAAAACATATGCAGTCCAATTTCTGAACCATTCATGGTGGCAACCTTGAACTTTCCCAGTTCTCTCAAATCTTTCCTGGAACGTTTGCCCCAAGCTCGTCTTCAAGAGTCACTGCTGAAAGAAGGCAGCTCCAAGCCAGCTCTTGTTTTCCAATCAATCCCCCATTTTGAAATCCTGCAGCATCTTTGTGTTTTGTTTTCCACGTGGCAGTGTTATATCTCCGAGTCCTGTGACCATTTAGTTTTCTGCTCCATTTCTTCTCTGTTTAGACACTGCCGTGCCCCGTCCTACATACTAATTACTGACTTTTTGCTTCTGCAGCTCTTGATTCATTGTGTCACATTTTCCCATGTGAAAGTGGACCAGGAACCTTGGCAAGGAGGTTAATGGATTTCAGAGTCACTCTTATTTAACCCTCAAAGTCACAGCAAAATAAGAACCAGGGGCTGACCCATTTTATAAACCAAGCCATAGCCAGCTTCAGCTGCAGTCTCCGCGTGGCTTCGACCACGGCGGCAAGTGTGACACAATTTGAGAAGGGTTGAAGATGTGTGTGCTCTTTTTCCTGCCTTTACTCTTTAAACTTCAGGCAAATCTTCTGATTATATTATCATTGTACCTTTAGTGGGTGATACATGGTAGAGCAGGAATAACCCCAGAGGAGGAGACAGTTCCCTTAGATTTTCATCAAATTCTGTTACAAATCAGCCTGCATAAACTTTTGCTGTTATCAGATCCATTTCTTGGATTTTAGTTCCCTCATTTTTACAATGAGGGTATTTGACCAAAAGATTTTTAGCATTCTATCTGGCTTACAGAGACTGTGATGTTAAATAACTTCATTCATTCATTCATTCATTCATTCATTCATTCATTCAGGAACCATTTATTTACCCTCATTGTACTCTCGCCACCATGCTAAAGACCATAAATACAGTTCTGAAAGCTCAACAAGAAATAAATGTTGTATTTCCTTTCTGAGGACTTCTGTGAGGTAGGCTTACATTTAGCATACATTTTGCAAAGTTCATTAAAAAGTTTTCAGGGTTTTTTTGAAGGATGAAGTGCCAGTCTTAATGCTAAAAGAGGTTGTTGGTAATTAGTCCAATGGGAATTGGGAGAGCTTTTTTATTTTATTAAAATAGAGTCTTCAATTAAGCTGTGTGAAGAGAGAAGAGTGAGTTTCCTGTATGAATGTTATCAGCAAAATCCATTAGCCCTGTTGATCACTCCTGCTCACAGGTTGCCTCTCCAGTTCTCTCTCCAAGGCTACTTTGGAACCATCTGTTTCATTGTGGTTTGCTAGGTAAACCCTCGGGAGCATACAGGTCTCTCCAGTCAACTTGCTTCTCCTGAGGAACATGCGAAATTTCCCTGGTAGCCATTGTTCCGAAGATATTAGTCATCCCTGTAGATACAAAGATCAAGAAACCTCAGATTTTCATTGACACACTTTTGGTTCTTCCCTTGGAAGACCAAAATGAGAAAGAGCTTCCCAACTGTCACAAGGAGTAAATATTTTTCAATAGAATGCAACAGGTTTTTTTTTTTTTTTTTTTTTTACACTTTTGAAACTAGGTTAGACCAAGAAAATTCTTTCTTTCTTCTCCCAGTCTGCTTCTTTTTGACAGCAATTTATAACACAGTTTGTTGGCATATAAAGTCTATAGTCTTTTATTATTATTTTTAAATCAACCGTAAAGTGGTCAGCCGTTAGTTGTTCTGTTTCATAATGACCATCACCATCTTGTGCACTGGGAATAAGCAAGCTGAAAAAATAATCTGGTGCAGGGTGCAGTCCTGATCAGTTGAAGAGCAGAGGAGGTGCCTGGAAGCTTTGGACAGTCTCTGCCTACCTCTGAGAGCTCTCAACAGCTGTATCTTCAAAATCTCTGTAACTGTGTTAAACCAGTTTCTACTAATTACCCACAAACAGCTTCAACCCCAACTGCCATGATGAACTGCAGAGGCGTATCTACACAAATCTATTAGTTTAATTTGCTATTGATGATATACTGTACTTAGGAATCATAATTTGTCTTCAAAAAAGGTTTATAACTATTACTTTACCAAGCCTCATAGCAGCCCTGGAAGCTAGAATCACAGTTGTATACCTGTTTTTCAGAAGATAACATGGAGACTAGATAGATGATGCTATTTTCCTGCCAATTGATAGAGAACCCCTGGGTGTGGACCCCATTTACGGTAGGATTTCTTCATGTCTCTAAGTGGCAGTTGGTGCTCTGTTTGTTTGCATAGGAATGAGAACGGCACATACAGCCTTCTATTATATTGTTCTTTTAAAAGATCTTTTTGCGGGCTTTATTTGCCTTTCACTTTCTTTGCCAAATGGGCCCATCATACTTCTTAGAACTGTAGAGAATAATACAAACTCAGAGAGATTCCAAAATTGTATTTCAGTTCTTGGTGCAATGATATATTTTTCTTTCTCCAGGCCCACCATCTGCTCCACTCAACTTGATTTCCAATGTCAACGAGACATCCGTGAACTTGGAATGGAGCAGTCCTCAGAACACAGGTGGTCGTCAGGACATTTCTTACAATGTCGTCTGTAAGAAGTGTGGAGCCGGTGACCCCAGCAAGTGCCGACCCTGCGGGAGTGGGGTCCACTACACCCCACAACAGAATGGCCTGAAGACCACCAAAGTCTCAATCACCGACCTCCTGGCACATACAAATTACACGTTTGAAATCTGGGCGGTGAATGGTGTGTCCAAGTATAACCCCAGCCCAGACCAATCAGTTTCCGTCACCGTGACAACCAACCAAGCAGGTAGGAATAAGATCCTTGTTTTTTCCTAATCTGAATGTACATTGTGAAAAGGATTATGGTGGTGACCATAAATTACGTTAAAGTTCTGCAATTGAAGTGGAACCCATTAAAAACTTGGAAGCTATGTTTCAATACAAAAGATATGTAGAAGGACATCAAATCATTCAGCAAACACAGTTTTGGGGAAATAACTGTGTAGCATGTTTCTGTCCCAGGTGGTGGAGATAAAATGAAAGATAAGATAGTGTCTGATTGAATGATAATGGCTACAGTAGGGGGCCAAGGCCCTCCACTACAGACTTCAGAAAGTTCAATGTGGCTGGATGTTGGAGCAAGTACAGATTATGTATGATAATAATGTTGATTTTACCAATACCAATGCTGTATTGGTATTTGCTGCATTTTCCAACAAAAGCATTGGCTGTTAGAGCTTTGATCTTATTCTTTAATGTAAAATGTTAGGAATAATCTACATGGACCAATATTTGAATCTCCATGTAGATCTTGGTGTGCTTAACAAAATTTGCCTTAAGACACAGAGGAGTTTTACAACCATTTTTATATCTGAATCTGTGGTCAGCATGAGGCAAGAGGGCTGCTAGTCCACCCCATTCCCTGCATCAATGCAGATGACTAGGAAGCACTTCTGTTCTTGAAGTGTCTCTGCTGAGTTGATCGCAGAACTCTCATAGAAATCTGATGTCATGTATTTTTCAAAATCTAGCTTTCTAGCGTCTGGCTCCTGTCCACTCATCTATATTCCTCCCATGAAAAAGTTTCTACACTACTATCTGTTTCCCATGTTATTCCTGAAGAGTTTAAGAGGAGGAACCACAGCAAAAAAAACCCCAAAACAACCCCACCCCCCAAACCACTACTGTGGCTTATCCTTTTGTAAGGCTATCACGAGCAACAAACAGCCAGAGAAGAATTACAAATTGCCAGCAATCCTATTGTACTGCACTCTTCTCTTAAATGAATGTGTCAGTAAGTGCACTTCACAGTTCAGTAAAATATCTGTATTAATTGATCCTATACTGAAAAGTACTCCAGAGTCCCAATTCAAAGCCATTATTTTTCCATTTTGCTTCGAATTTTCTAGCATACATAAAAAGTAGAGACTTGGGAGAAATTCTGAATGGGGGGTAGAAAGGCTAATCTTACCGGAATGCTTCTTCATCTGTTCAAATGGAAATGGTCCTTATTGATACGTGGTATGGACAAGTCATCTGGCTAAGCTTTTGTCTTGAATTCTGAACTTTGAGACTGTGCACACTGTTACTGGTCACTAGTTTCACTTTTCTTACAAAGACTAGGATAATTTAGGAGGATTTGATGGCATCACAAGCAATTTGTGATTGCCAACCCTTCATTCTCTTGTGAAGGATGCAATGGGAATATCACACACAGAACCTGGGACTATGCATTGGTGCCCTTGGTGTCTCTGAGTCAGGAGGACCCGCACAGTGCACACCAATTTTTGCAGGTTCTGCAGAGTTGGATTTATGAGTCAGTCAATATTCTTATGTTCAGGCCCCTTATGATAACTTTTGGGGTATCTTCAAACACATGACAATGTTGTATTCTTAACTGAATTAAAACTAAGAGTGGAAATTTGAAGCCTCTGCTATGTCAGCTGAAGCCTGAAATCATTCCCTTTGGCAGAGAAAAGCCCTGTGAAATGTTCTCAGAGCAGGATTGACTCCCACTGATTTTAGGGGAGAATTCCATGATTCTTAGTGTAAGTAAGGATTCAAGCCAAGAGATGATGGGTGTCAACTCCCACCATGCTACAAGGTCCAAACAACATAAAGACAGGCTAAAAATCCTGCAAAAGAGGAATATGTATGATAATATCTCTACAGAGGGTAGGGGAATAAAATTTTTTTTTTAAATAATATAGGTGTAATACTTATAGATCTAGCAGAAAAGTGGTCAGGTAATTCCCCTGACACTTTGTAACTTTTTTTCACAGCCATGGCGAGCAATCCTGCTGGGAGGTTTGCTGAATAGGACCAAATTCCATCTCCTTATTTTAATTTTCCTGAAGGGGTAATGCTGGGAAGCTGTTCAAAATTAAAAATAAATCTTTCAATAAGGAGACCTCCTATGTGGCCAGCCGGAAAGCTTTTCACTTAGCAGAGAATTATATATATATATATGCACAGTACTGCCTCATTATCTTACCATAATTTGGAGTTCACTAATTCAAAATCATTGGGATACTTTATCTTTGATTAACAAACCCTTTCTTCTTACTAGTGCAAATTAATAATGTAGGCCAAAATTCTGGGTGAATGTAGCAACCATAATCTCTATCAAAGCTCCCCTAAGCATATTTACATACACACAATTATATTTTAATTGCAGTTGTTCCTATCATTCCATTAAATTAAATTCCTTGAGAAACTCTACAGACCATGATGTCTCACTCTCTAAGGAATGCTTAGAATTAATAAATGTTTGCATTTAGCACCTGGAGGTCACAGATTTAGTGGTTCTCCATTTTGCTGTCGTCACAGGGTTTTTCTCTTGTCAATAACATGTTAAAAACTAGAACCAAACATACAGAACCTCCTAGAATTCCCAATCTCTGCTCACTACCATGGAGACTTTAATGGTTGAGGGAAGGACCACTCCATGTAGGTGAAGCAACTCATCTAAGCCAACATCAGAGCTGGTACTAAGACACCAAGGAGAACCTCCTCTTGAATGTAAAAGCTGTTTTCCTTTAAACTTATGAGGTAATTAGTAGTGTCAATATTGTCAGTGCTGCATTCTTCCCATTTGTGAGAGCAAATCACGTGAGTATCTGCATGTGGAGATTGAGGTTTAACAGGGCTTTGATCATTTAATGGCAGGAGGAGGTGTGAACGGGCCTGTGTTCTCACATGGGTATGGAAGCCATGCTAACCCAAGTCTTAATGTTGGCCTAAGCACCCTTTTCCTGAGTTCAAACCCAAGGCTAATAGCACCTTACTGGGTTCAAACACCAATGGGCACTGAAAACAAAGGAAATTAGAGTCTGTCAGCTTTGTTGCTGGACAGCTGAGGGATGTGGGCTTTGTATCTGAGGCCAGAATGGCTAGTTTTAGTGACACTTATCCTTTCTCAACTGACTGGCTGCAGGCTCCCAAATTCTCTGATTAATGTCAACTCCAACCCAACCCCCTGCCAGGAGTGGTGATGGGGAAGGAGGGTGGGAAGGGGGTGGAGGTGGGAGGGTTTTTTCCAGTGAGTCTCACCCCAGTAGCTCCCGGAAGCCCCTGCCTGGTTAATGTCCTTTATTCCAGGACAAAGGAGCAAGTGAGCTTCCTCCATGTTCCATGCCATAGCCATAGTGACTGTCCTTCTTTTGTTTAGGAAGAGATAGTCTTGAGGTTTATGAAAAATGGATAAGCATCAGCTGGCTGATTGTCTTCTAGATGTTTCCCTTCAGTTTCCGTTTACTTAAGTGGACCATCTCAGGCAAATGGATAGAGGATGTGTTCCTAGGAGGAAGAAATGCTGTGTAAATCAAACAAGTTTTCCTTGCCAAGCAATAGAACTGGGAGTATCTTTTCATAAAAATACTGTGATGGCAGCCAGCACTAATATCAGTGAGCCATTTTTACTATACATACCGAACTACCCCAGACTTGGTCTCTCTCCCAGCTATGAGCAGGATCATAACTCCTCCAGGGGTGCTTGTTTAAATCATTAGGAATGTAACCCTTTCAAGTAGTGTTCTTACCCAAACTGCACCCACACCCACAGGCAGTGATCTCCATTTTTTTTTTTTTTTAACTTTTTTGCCTGTAACACTGCTCGGGACACTTCACAATGGGATAACCTGGTCATATATCTCTAGTACAGCTCTAATATCCTTTAGTGATAAACATCTATAAATCTGTAATACTCAGAGTTTGGAAGAGTACAGATATTTGGTAAATTACATAATTATTTAAAATGAACTGATGGGTGTACCTGTAATCCCAGTGGCTTAGGAGGTTGAGAATCATGGGAGTTCAAAGCCAGCCTCAGCAACTTAGGGAGGTCTTACGTAACTCAGCGAGACCCTCTCTCCAAGTAAAATATAAAAAAGAGACTGGGGATGTGGCTTAATGGTTTAAGCGCCCCTGGGTTCAATCCCGGTACCAAAAGAATAGGGTCATTAATTAAATTAAATTAAATGAACTAATCTCTAAAATCTTTTCTAATTCTAAAATTCCATGAATCCAAGTTACAGCCACAGACTATAAGCATGAGATTCAGGGCTCTGAGTCCTAGAGCATAATGTTTGGAAATGGACATTCCAAGAGTAAGAGGAAAATTCCAAAAATGCTTCAGCAGAATTATTATGAATTCTTTTGAATTCTTGCCCCCCTCTGTCCTTTCACCCTGCCAAGGTATTTACTTGAAGAGGAAAACAGATAACTGTACCTCAAGGACAGTTGTTCTCAATCCGGTGTGACTTTTGCCCCCGGCCATCCCTGACATTTGATATTGTTTAGAGATAATTTTGGTGCAGTGAGCAGAGACCAATGATGCTACAAAACATCCCATATGGACAGAACAGTCCTCCACACAAAAGAATGATGTGGTCCAAAATATCCAGAGTGCCCAGATTGAGAAATTATTTTTCTAGTGATATGTTTGAAAAGCAGATCTCAGTCTCCGTAGTAATGCCTGCCTCCCAAGGTTCCCATTGCCAACTGGAGTGTCCTTGGTCTGGCTAGTGGCTCAGCACACAGGGCAACTACCCTGTTGATTTGGTTGCGCTGCTCCGAGCTGAGAGCATGATGCTCCCTTTGCTGATCCTGCAGAACAGGCACTTGTGAAGAGGCTTTGGAGGCCTTGAATCCCTTCTCAGTTGTTTTGCCATCAGATGAACTGGTACTGCTTGTTGGGCTAGCATTATTCTCTAGGGTTGAACAATTAACTGCAAGAACAAAGCTACCAACAATAAAATAGTATCCTCATTGTCATAATGCCATTGTGCAGAATGGGGTAATCAATAT